GTATGTTTCTAATATTTCCATGACTTAGATTTAAAGTATTCAGAAAAAAGCGATTGTATGTATTTATTGTCCATTTGTGTCATCCATGTGTTATTATGATCAGATTTCTATACGCGACTATATTCTAACATATATGTAGCATTGTAATGTTGAAATTTTTGTATGCATTTCTATTTATTCATTTGAATAAATTATTATCTCATAGAGTTTTATTTTTGCAATACAATAAATGTACTTTATGCTGTTGATTTTTTGTGTGAATAAAAATTCGAAATTCGAAAAAAAGAAATAAAAACTAATCAAATATTCTATAATTGAAGAGGTCAAACTTGTTGTTTTAAACATTCAGTCGATTGGGTGTTTCTCCTCAACGTCATTTAGAAGACGAAAATCGAATCAGTTATATTTATTGTGTACTTTCAAATAATTAATTATAAAGTATATAAACTGGGCGTTTCTTGTAATCCAAAAAAAAAATATATATATATGCAACTAGAAATTTATTTGAATGAATTCTCATGTGTCGAAAATGCCCATACTTTGTACAATGCTCTTTGATCAATAACCACGAAATTATCTACTAGCCTAGTGGGATATTAACAGATAGAAAGTACTACATAGTGTGTACTTAGTCCTCTCTCCACCATCTTTATAATATTTTCTGTCACACCTAACTTGTAACTGTAAAGATCAGTTATTTAAATAAAAAAAAGTATGCAAACACGTTACGTATATATAACTAGTCAACATATAGCAATATGTAATGTAAGCTACTCAGTAAAAATGAGTGCTATGGAGATTTTTATTTGATCGAGAAATGTACTATCCTTCTAGGTTGCCTACATTTCATAGTGATTTCTCTTCTGGAGACTGTCGATAATTGAATACTTTTCTTCGACAGACATTAAACTGTTCGTTTCATAGTCATATTTACACGTCTACCATGAAGTCATTTATTCGAAGAAAATAGACTTTAATGAAACGAAACCAATTCAGATTGTAAGTGTAAGAGAATATTTCTAGTCAGCATAAATCTAGTGTGTTCAACTATGTTGTTGGTAATACTAAGAGTTTTTTGCTTGATTATGTAATACTTCAATTGTTGTGTTGTTTTTTTTTAAAAAAAAGGAATTTAGATCAAAGTATCAAGGCAAATGATATTCATGCACAATTGCGTTTAAATTTCTAGGCATATTCGATTATTGTGATTTAATAATAGCTCAATAGTATCGTTAACTATGCATACCAAATTACTGTTCAAAGTGGACTGACTACATAAGCTTTTAACTTAGTGGTCGCTAAACTTTTTTAATCAAGGGTTGCATCACAATACAGACTGTACGTCAACAGAAACATACATACTAACTAACATTAGGATATTGGTTTGTTTTTAAAAGATTGCTTTTAAGTTGTAATCTATGAATACTCTTATCACCACACTATGTCAATTTACATACATACCAATTTATATTGGTAACGTTGGTAAACATTGACTTATTCGATCGATTTTTGTTAAAATTTCTGTGTTTTTTTTCTCACAAATTCATCCTAGATGATGACATTGTTTGCTTTTCATTCATTTTCGACTATTATTTATAAATAAAATCAAAAAAAATTTCTACAAAAAGAATCTGTGGTTGTGAAATGAGTTGCTACAACTGAATATAACATCAACTTAGTACAAATCATTATGTAAACGATTTCATCATCCAAATGTAGCTAACTATTATTAGTGTTTTTCTACGACAGTTTGATATAACTGATAATAATTCAAAACACATTGTATGGATCTAGTTCATTTGAATTATGGGCTAACTGCGACAATCAAGTTGGTTAACTAACACACTACCATTATAGTGCTGTATATAGGGTTAGCGTTTTGGCGCCAACCCCATGTCCAACCCCTCCTACTTTATCCGGGCTTGGGACTGGCAGTAACCCCGAAGAATCTACAGGCGGAGTTTGTATATACGATTAGGTGTAACGAATTTGTTACTGTCTTCTTTTTGTGATAATTCATTGTGCAATGTAGACAAGAAATGTGACATTGTAGTATTATGATATACCAATAAAATTATTAATCATTTAATTTTCTCTGTATTTAATTGCCCCTCTCTTTTTTTCTTCTTCCTCTCTCTGTCTCATGTTTTTTTTTCATTTTACAGTTAGTTGATAAAATTGGCATTACACTTTACGATTTAAATATTGACAATTTAGATGTTCATGCAGTAAGTTCTATCTATTTTACGTTCATTTTCAATTTTCAGTATGAATATTTGGTTTTTGGTTTTCAATGTGCAGATAGCTGTTTCAGTGATGTGAACATTTTAACTACTACACATTCATAAAGTAACCAACTCTATCACATCTCTACTTTACGATGATTTATCAACTTTTATCTGTATAAAGAATACTTTTGAATATAGTTAATCAATCAGTCAGTCAGTCAGCTATCATCAACATAACAATTGATATAAATAGTTTGTAGTTTGCTAAGATGTGAAGCACGAAATATTTTTTATTAAAGGTGAATGTATCAAGACACTGATTTTTTCAAATGGATTTGATTTACATCAATGAATATTTAATTTCGAACGACTTCAATTGAATAGGATTTGTCATTAATGACTCAGTAACGCACAATACCTTAAGATTGAAATAGATAATTAACTGTGTTGCGTTCCTGCACCCATTCTAATCAAAATTATAGGAAAGAGAGAGGTTAGATATTATTGCTTCATTGTTATCTTAACTATTTAACTACAAATGACAATTAATACGTGGAATCGAACCTGCAAGTCATTACCTACCTCCATGGCTCAGATCAGCTGTTGATGAGTTAACAAATCAATGCCATGTTTTTAGACCCTCTCCCTTTGACTTTTTTTGACTAGCTCCTATGTTATGCAGTATTGTGCATCCAGAATAAACAGTTTTCAAGGGCATGCAAGACACTCTAATCATCTTAGTTTATGTAAGTTTATACCTTTGGTTCTCCTTCTAAACTCCATTGGCCTAAATATACGGGCATGGAAAAAAACCTGATCTAAATATTTACTCATTCCATGTATGTTTTTCCTACTCTGATACGATCACATTTCACCAAGATAGGAGAGTTTTGACTGATTTTAACTGTAGTAGTAGAAATCTACGTTAATAAATAGTCGCTACTTATATCTCCTATATGATAAACTTTTGTGATGGTACCTGATTCTAGTGTTGTACCCATTTATCATACAATACAAAATTCAAGTGAATTTTAAATTAGCTCACCTTATACACTAGCATAATTACACAATAAAAACATTATTACCATGTTAATTATTATTCTGGATTCATAGTTGTTCTTTTTTGTTTAGGGTTTCATGAAACTGAAATGCTGAATAAATAATGATAAAAAAATGATTCATAGATTGCATAGTTAATACCTGCTATGCATATTGTACACTAAAACAACAGTATATTTGTTAGTTTATATATGAGTAATTTAAAATTATTGTTTTATTACAAACTATTTGGGTACACTTATTTAAAATCATAGGTTTTTTTGATTTTGAACAATAAGTGGTGATAAAAAGATTTTAATTGTTTGGTCGTGAAAATTGTATCCTTTTCATGGTCGAAATGATTTATTGATTGAAGTTAAACATTAACACTGTCGGGTGCTGGCTCACAGATTAAGAAGTTAAGCGTTCGTACGAGAAACAGAATGTTCTGGGTTCGTTTTCCTGCAATCGACATCTTTGCACACACTACTTAGAAGTCCTATATTAGGAAGAAACGGTGTCACAGTGTTCCCAGGTTTTTCATTGAGTGTCTAATTAAGATCATCGGGATTTCAACTGACAATTACATATTCTTACAACATTCTCTTCTACTACTAACACATTGTAACTAATGATTAGGTCTGAGATGGATGTATATTAAAAAAATGTATTTGTTAGGAGAATTATGTATCACTTAGCTTTCTTATTTTCACCTTGCAAATATCAATTCCCAAACAAAATGAGACGGTTGATTGAACTCTCAACCATTAGTTATATTTTAGCTCATTTCTTCAAATGTTACATTTTATTCTATTAACTTAAGTAGAAACTTTTTTTTTTCTTCGATAGTTTATATAATTGGAAGTTTGACTAGCCTATGAAGTAAAGACCTAACTATTAAACTTATTATCCCATCACATATCCATTTTTGTTGGATGCTTCCCGTTGAATTGAGTTTGTTGATAGATATTTGTTTTCAAAACTTGTTCTAACTGAACTCTGACATCTATAACATAAACAATGATTAAATGCTGAGTCATCTAGACTCAGTTAGAAAGCTGAGTTGACTTATCTTCTCAGACTGAACGGTTTGACCTTTCCAGACACCATTGTTCTTTGTTAGTTAAATGAACATATGCAAATAAATAAAGTTGATTTTCTTTGTTATTTAGATGGCAGACATTATTAGAAGTTGATTCGTCTTTCGAATAGTTTTTGAAAATGTTCTGTAGATTTTACTCAATTAAATCATGTTTATTCGGGATTTTTATTCTGATCAAAGGGAAAGGCATTTGAAATATTAGTAAAACAAATGTCTATTGCATTCATTTAGTTCTCTTTATCATGTTGAGTAGAGCAAGAACAACGAATTGAGCTTATTCGATAAAATTCTCGCAGACAAAGTAACCATTCCCAGTTTCATCCTTCTTACTCTTAAAAGTTGAATAACAGTTTGTGTCAAGTATCATGAAAACATTTTAAAGACTATCGAACCTTTATAAAACAGTGATGATCCCTTCCTCTTTTATTTGTAATGTTCGACCGAATAGTTTATATATACCTAAATACACTATAGTAGAATAACATTTGGTGAATAAGTGTTTTTCCTTAATTCGTTGTTGAATGTCTAACTTATTATTCTTTCTTGTGCCATATCCTACTTCTTGGTTCAATTTTGAAAAATAACGATAGATTCGATTTTTATTATGTGAGATCATGTTTTATTGGTCAACAGTTAATTGTAGATAATTTTTTCGAATTTCGAAGAACACAGCATGCATTACCTGTGTGGTGTTGATTCACAATCTGACACTGGACATAGATTGAACTCTACTGGTCACAGCTTCTCACTTTAGGAATATATCTTGAAAATGTTCACTAGTCAGCATGTGGTTTTTAGTAGTAAAATGGGTTTGTGGAAATTTTATTATTTTAAAATTCAGTGTATTATTGGTATTTAAGCAATACATGTTATTGTTTATTAGTTTAGCAATTTTTCCTGTTATATCATTTGTTTACCGGTCAACTCTTCTGATGCACATATATTTACTGAATAACTCAAATGGAAGGCATTATGATGTGAATATGACTAGTAGTAACTTGAATTTATGGAAAAGACAATGAGGTGTACTTTTTCATGAATAAAATATATCTTTGAACTTCAGTTGTTCCTGCTCCACTCCAGTCTAATCAATCACATAGAATTGTTGATTTTTTCATTAGGAAAAACTTCGTAATTCTCATTTTAGTTTGCTTTCTGAAACTTGATTGAATAATTTAAGCAGCATAATAATAATAATAATAATAATAATAATAATAATCACAATAATGATATTCTTGTTTTATAACATATGTGACTATCATTATTAATTTTTATTATTATCCACATGATTGTCGCTGTGACTTTCCAATGAATCTTTTATTCGACAAATTATTATTATTATTTGCTTCACCACATTTTCAGGATCGTAATACATTTCATCGATTTGATAAATTCAATGCCAAATACAATCCTATTGGTCAAAGTCAATTGCGTGAAGTATTTTTGAAAACTGACAATTATATTAAAGGCGTTTTCTTTGCACATGTTTTAAAGGTAAATTTCGCCTTTATCATTTTTAATTTGATCGTGTTTTTTTTTTAGTTTCTCAATATAATTTTTTTTGTATGAAGGAGAATATCTGCCTGAATAGTTGTATTCGTTAACTAAAATTGTTCAATATATATTGTTTCAATTTGTAGTATTGTTTTATCAAAATACCATAACGATGGTAACAGTGATGATTTTGAATTTATTCAAACAAATAGTGAATACAACTTTTGTTCTTTGTCTAAATGACATTCATCTTGTTTACTGTGATTACTATGAAATAATAATCATTACAATATTACTCCATTGGTTAAATAAACTCTCATATTTTATTCAAATACAAACTCATCACTCATAAAAATCAGCTGTACGATGACGTAACATTTAATGTAGTGTTCTAGTATCATGCAATATCAAAAGAACTTTTTTTTGGGCTTAGATTATAATTTTTCATGTAAGAGACAAACAGAACGTTTCACCATCAACCTAATATAATGCTGTAGACTGAAAAAATGGTCAGAAAAGAAATATTGATGATTGACTTAGATCTAATTTACTCAATTTTTTTAAATTTTCATTGTTTTATCTTTCTTATTCTTATGACTTACGGTGATAGCCATTTAGTTAATGATCGTTTGTACGAGTGGAGGATGACACAGCCCTTGAATTCCGCATTACACAAATATTGAGGAAAAGATTTATTTTTGGTTAAAATTTCCCATAGAGTTAATTGTATTCGATTACGGAGTTGTGAAGATTGTTCAATTACACATTTGAAATCATGAATCGATCAATGTTAGACGGTCCAGTGCTTCCAGGTTTCTAATGCTGGTCTAACCTTGATCGATTCATGATTTCAAATGGTATTTGAATTGATTTAATTTTCTATACTGATTCAATTCAATGATGATATAAACTGTGTATACATTAAACCCAACTATGTGAACAGTCATTAGTTGAATAATAAAAATGCCCCAGACAAATTGTCACTGAAATACAATGAAAATTAATTGAGAACACAATTCTATGACAATGTATGAATTACTACTGCTACTACTACTACTACTTCTACTACTGACAGTTAATGAACACAAATCAGTGAACAATTATATTTGTATCACTTTGTATGATGATGATGATGTATTTGTGCGTACTAGGTGTAAATGGTTTTGAAACACTTTTGATTAGTAATTTTATTGTCAAATTGTACGTAAATCATACTTTATGTTAATGATAATTTTTTTTTAAAACTATTAATCCCCATTGGAATATTAGAATAAATTACAATTTGAATTTTAATTAGCACTATTAATACTCACAATGTTGCTAGCTCAATGTGTTTCACACTTAATTGTTAATCAGTTCAATGGATTAGGTCAAATTACGCTGAATTGATTAATTAGGCTGTTTGATTTTTTTTTGAAATTGTTATTTGATTTCACTTTACTGTTACTGTGTTAATACGATATTTTACATGAATATAGATATATCTATTAGTTTGTTTTTCGATTACATTATTTCTACTTTACATTATCCAAAAAGTAGTGTAGTTTGGGTAAGACTGCTAGATCAATAGATGAAGTAGTGAAACTTCATCAGTTGAAGTGATTGGCACATGTGTTGCGTATCCCTAACCACTGACTGCCTCGTCGAGCTATGCTTTCGATGTAGAAGTACGTTGGGAGAAAGCTAGGAGCGGCCAGACCAAAACATGGCACAAATCCATGAAGTCTCTGACATGTGGACTGAGTGATGTTGGTAGATGAAGGCTGTCTGGTTGGGGTCCTCGAGACGAAGGTCACCAATGGTTAGAGACCTTGAACGACATGGCTCAGAATCGTTTGCAATGGCGCAGGTGCATCCACTCTTTGTGTGCTTTTTAATTCTAACCTTCTGAATTCCTCATCACCTTTATCTTTTTAAGTCTATTTCACTAGATTCTACTTCTTGAATAATATCGTTGAACCCTAAAATTTCCGATTACTGCGAATACTTCTACTACCTTTACTACTATGAGATTTGCATCTCTGTGCTTATTTGGTATGGCAACTTGAAATGATGTACGTACGTACGAAGTTCAACATTGCTGATTAGCAAGTTAGCAAGATTAGTCCACATGTCTGTCACAAAACTGAGTTTGAACTCATCAACATGGTTGTATATATGGTAATTTGGTTTTATTTGCACATGAATGGCAACTTGAACTGATGTACTTACGTACGAAGCTTTATGTTGCTGTTGATTTGACTTGAATGAATTTTTTAATTTTTTTTTTACTATTCCATAAATAAAAATTTAGCGAATAATATTAAATACAAGATGTTTTCTCCTAAATGTTTACATTCAAAGGTGTTTTATGTGAAATGAATCCATTTTACGGTACCAACTTCATGCTACCATGTAAATGTTGATAGTATAATCTATTGAAATGAACTATTCATTTCCATAAATTAAGTATTCCAGTTGATTTACTTTGGCTATTTCTTTTTCTCATGTTTTTTTTTTCACATTTCTTTGTAAATAATTGTATTCTCTTTTTGTTTTCTCTCTCCCCTTTTTTTTAAATGTTAGGAAGTGTTTTATGATTTTTCTGAATCAAAATATCAAAATGCTGAACCACGTCTTTCACTCTATGGTCGATCTATCAATGAATGGGATAATCTAGCGAAATGGGCTATTGATTGTAAAGTTTACTCAGATAATATACGTTGGTTGATTCAAGTGCCTCGTCTATTCGATGTTTATCATGCTAAAGGATCAATGAAATACTTTCAAGTAAATTAATGTATATATATATATATATATACATCTTTTCACAATACACATTTACTGTAAACAAAAAAAAGTGTAAAGTAGGTTTGAAATAAATAGAACTGACTGTTATTAGCTTTTCTCAAAAGGAGAAATTAACAGGTTTCACTAAACTATTGAGATAGTTTAGGCTTTTTTATTTTAGAAAAGTTATTTGACACAGTTTTCGGTCAAAAATACAAACAAACAAATAAAAACAAGTAAGTACAACTTCTGAAATCGAGGTGAGATAAAATGAGAAAACTATTCAATATATATATATATATATATATATATATATATATATATATTCGTCTTCTACAACACTTCACCTCCAATTTCTCAATAAGTAATGATTATTCGTACTTTAGGCAAAATGTTGTAGGTCATTGGGTAACTTTTTTTTCTTATTCTAATTAAAAGAAAAATTAAATTAAATTCACCACCAGTTGGTCTGCTGTTGATGAATAATAATTCTTGTTGCTATCTGATGAATGTTGACAGAAGTTCATTGTAAAGTAAATAATTTTCTATTTATTTTGTTGTTTGCCTTTTCTAAAAACAAAAAAAATATTTCCATTCTACTCTGAGAACTCTTTTTATTAATGAACTAATGCATAATGACCTATAATGATAGAAAATCATTCAATACATATGATATGACATCAACTATACTGTAAATAAAACAGTAGTTATGCAGTTGTGGCATTTCTTGATCACTGCATAATAACTGTGAATTTACTGAAGTTGGAAAACATGAAACTGTTAGGTATGCTTAAAACTTTACGGTTTCACCTTGGTCGAATAACGAGAACAAAACGATAAACCAGCGTCCTGGTAGGCTACCGTGATCCCTTGACCAAATTGAATCATCGAGAAGTCTTGATATAGTGTAGAAATTGTATTCTACAAACACCTAGCCAGCACACAATGATTCCAAGCACTCAAATTGCATTTATTTATACTCTATAGAGACGTCTTTGGGACAGTCACAAAAATAGCACACTAAAATGACACAGCAGACAATCACAGCCATGGATTTTCCTGGTGGGACATGTTATCTCAAGGTCAACTGATCGGTCCATGAAATAAATCCAAAATGAAGATATTTATCAAGCGAGTTCTGGGGATCTAACATCCCCAACAGAAACATTAGTTTTCGATCCAATAGTTAAAATGTTTCATGCACTTCTCGACGTTTGAACACCGAATATCCCATTTCGTTCTTTAAGGGGATAGTGAAAATTATCTCAACAGCTTGTGGGTTTCAAACTTGAATTTAAGATTGTTAATTTCTCTCTAGTTTCTTGTAATTATCGGTTTATGTGAATTATTGGGGAAATTTTTAAATTATCTAAGAGTTTTCATTATAAACCATCCAAGGTTCACATTAAGATGTGATCATTAACATTTTTAATTGACACTTAAAAATTCAGAATTATTTTAAAAAGTGATCAATTCATCTTTTACCAGAATTCCTTTGTTTTAATTTACTGATCATAGTAGATGCCATAATGCATAAAATTAAAATTTGTTCATTATTTAAAAAATAAAATTCGTCCACAAACATATGATACCCTAATACGTAATTAAAGATTCATTTTCAACATCGCATCATGATTTGTTGTCAAATTCGTTTATTATTAACCAAAAAAAAATAGAGAAAACAAAGTTTGAAATTTCATTCAACCTAATCGATAATTCTGACTGGAATCTCGGCATAATTGATATTTTCAATAAGCAACCAATTCAATTCTATGATTATTATATTACATATCTAGTCGAACGATAGTTTCTGAATGTTTTCTTAATTTCAAATAAAATCATGTTTATCACAAACTAATGAATTGTTTGTTTCAGACTGTATTTTATAATGTCAAGTCTGAGTTGACCTTTAAAGAAATAAGAATATATTTTGATGATAAGATTATCACTCCTCAGAGTTCATTATATTCTTGTTTTTTTTTTATGATGTAATAAATTTATTAAAGGCGTTTTTTTTCTTCAAATAATTAAATGTCTGACTTTTCTTTATTATTGTTTACTTTTTATGTCAAATGGAACAATATATCAGTAAATAAAAATAATTTATATATATATATATATATATATATATATATATATATATATATATATACAATTCATTTTTATTACTGATATATTGTTTCCATTTGACATAAAAAGTAAACAATAATAAAGAAAAGTCAGACATTTAATTATTTGAAGAAAAAAAACGCCTTAAATCAATAGAGTGCAAGGTTGGGAAAGCATTTATATTTTTTGTGTTTGTAAGTTGTTATTGTGTTTAAAATGTATTGTTAAAGTTTGTATTTTAGATTTCGATTTTTTTTTTTGTTTTTTTTTTTTTTTTTTTTTTTATTTTTTGCTCTTATATTTTTTGTGTGGTGTGTATAATGATGCTATATATTTATTTATTTTTTTTTTTTTTTTTTTTCATTTTTTTGTTTTTTTTTTTTTTTTTTTTTTTTTTTTTTTTTCATTTTTTTTTTTTTTTTTTTTTTGAAAGTATAGTGTATTTTATGTTTTTTTTTTTTTTTTTTAGATAATGTATATTTGATGTTGTTTTTTTAATGGTGAGGTGGAATCTCGAGTGCAAGAACGTGTTTAGTTATTGGTTGTTGAGTTTATTTTTTTTTTGTTTTTTATTTTGTTATAGGGTCTGGGTTTTTATTTACGTGATTTTTTTTTTATTAACATCATAAAAAAAAAACAAGAATATAATGAACTCTGAGGAGTGATAATCTTATCATCAAAATATATTCTTATTTCTTTAAAGGTCAACTCAGACTTGACATTATAAAATACGTCTGAAACAAACAATTCATTAGTTTGTGATAAAACATGATTTTATTTGAAATTAAGAAAACATTCAGAACTATCGTTCGACTAGATATGTAATATAATAATCATAGAATTGAATTGGTTTGCTTATTGAAAATATCAATTATGCCGAGATTCCAGTCAGAATTATCGAGAATTAGGTTGAATGAAATTTCAACTTTGTTTTCTCTATTTTTTTTTGGTTATAATAAACGAATTTGAACAACAAATCATGATGCGATGTTGAAAATGAATCTTTAATTACGTATTAGGGATATCATATGTTTGTGGACGATTTTATTTTTTAAATAATGAACAAATTTAATTTTATGCATATGGCATCTACTATGATCAGGTAAATTAAAACAAAAGGGGAATTCTGGTAAAAGATGAATTGATCACTTTTTAAAAATAATTCTGAAATTTTTAAGTGTCAATTAAAAATGTTAATTGATCACATCTTAATGTGAACACTTGGATGGTTTATAATGAACAACTCTTAGATATATTTAATAAAATTTCCCCAATATTCACATAAACCGATAATTACAAGAAACTAGAGAGGAAATTAACAATCTTAAATTCAAGTTTGAAACCCACAAGCTGTTGAGATAATTTTCACTATCCCTTAAAGAACGAAATGGGATATTCGGTTGTTCAAACGTCGAGAAGTGCATGAAACATTTTAACTATTGGATCGAAAACTAATGTTTCTGTTGGGGATGTTAGATCCCCAGAACTCGCTTGATAAATATCTTCATTTTGGATTTATTCATGGACCGTGATCAGTTGACCTTGAGATAACATGTCCCACCAGGAAAATCCATGGCTGTGATTGTCTGCTGTGGTCATTTTAGTGTGCTATTTTTGTGACTGTTCCCAAAGGACGTCTACTATAGAGTAGAGAATAAATGCAATTGAGTGCTTGGAATCATTGTGTTGCTGGCTAGGGTGTTTGTAGAGATACAATTTCTACACTATATCAAGACTTCTCGATGATTCAATTTGGTCAAGGGATCACGGTAGCCTACCAGGACCTGGTTTATCGTTTTGTGTTCTCGTTATTACGACCAAGGTGAAACAGTAAAGTTTTAAGCATACCTAACAGTTTTCATGTTTTCCAACTTCAGTATAATTCACAGTTATTATGCAGTGATCAAGAAGATGCCACAACTGCATAACTACTGTTTTATTTACAGTATAGGTTGATGTCCATATCATATGTATTGAATGATGTTCTATCATTATAGGTCATTATGCATTAGTTCATTAATAAAAAGAGGTTCTCAGAGTAGAATGGAAATATTTTTTTTGTTTTTAGAAAAGGCAAACAACAAAATAAATAGAAAGATTATTTACTTTACATGAACGTCTGTCAACATTCATCAGATAGCAACAAGAAATTATTATTCATCAACAGCAGACCAACTGGTGGTGAATTTAATTTAATTTTTCTTTAATTAGAATAAGAAAAAAAAGTTACCCAATGACCTACAACATTTTGCCTAAAGTACGAATAATCATTACTTATTGAGAAATTGGAGGTGAAGTGTTGTAGAAGACGAGATATATATATATATATATATAATATATAATATATATTATATATATATTGAATAGTTTTCTCATTTATCTCACCTCGATTTCAGAAGTTGTACCTTACTTGTTTTTATTTGTTTGGTTTGTATTTTTGACCGAAAACTGTGTCAAATAAACTTTTCTAAAATAAAAAAGGCCTAAACTATCTCAATAGTTTAGTGAAACCTGTTAATTTCATCCTTTTGAGAAAAGCTAATAACAGTCAGTTCTATTTATTTCAAACCTACTTTACACTTTTTTTGTTTACAGTAAATGTGTATTGTGAAAAGATGTATATATATATATATATATACATTAATTTACTTGAAAGTATTTCATTGATCCTTTAGCATGATAAACATCGAATAGACGAGGCACTTGAATCAACCAACGTATATTATCTGAGTAAACTTTACAATCAATAGCCCATTTCGCTAGATTATCCCATTCATTGATAGATCGACCATAGAGTGAAAGACGTGGTTCAGCATTTTGATATTTTTGATTCAGAAAAATCATAAAACACTTCCTAACATTTAAAAAAAAGGGGAGAGAGAAAACAAAAAGAGAATACAATTATTTACAAAGAAATGTGAAAAAAAAAAACATGAGAAAAAAGAAATAGCCAAAGTAAATCAACTGGAAGACTTAATTTATGGAAATGGAATAGTTCATTTCAATAGGATTATACTATCAACATTTACATGGTAGCATGAAGTTGGTACCGTAAAATGGATTCATATTCACATAAAACACCTTTGAATGTAAACATTTAGGAGAAAAACATCTTGTATTTAATATTATTCGCTAAATTTTTATTTATGGAATAGTAAAAAAAAAATTAAAAAATTCATTCAAGTCAAATCAACAGCAACATAAAGCTTCGTACGTAAGTACATCAGTTTCAAGTTGCCATTCATGTGCAAATAAAACCCAAATTACCATATATACACACCATGTTGGATGAGTTCAAAACTCAGTTTTGTGACAGACATGTGGACTAATCTTGCTAACTTGCTAATCAGCAATGTTGAACTTCGTACGTACGTACATCATTTCAAGTTGCCATACCAAATAAGCACAGAGATGCAAATCTCATAGTAGTAAAGGTAGTAGAAGTATTAGCAGTAATCAGAAATTTCAGGGTTTGAAGATATTAGTCAAGAAGGAGAATCTAGTGAAATAGACTTAAAAAGATAAAGGTGATGAGGAATTCAGAAGGTTAGAATTAAAAAGCACACAAAGAGTGGATGCACCTGCGCCATTGCAAACGATTCTGAGCCATGTCGTTCAAGGTCTCTAACCATTGGTGACCTTCGTCTCGAGGACCCCAACCAGACAGCCTTCATCTACCAACATCACTCAGTCCACATGTCAGAGACTTCATGGATTTGTGCCATGTTTTGGTCTGGCCGCTCCTAGCTTTCTCCCAACGTACTTCTACATCGAAAGCATAGCTCGACGAGGCAGTCAGTGGTTAGGGATACGCAACACATGTGCCAATCACTTCAACTGATGAAGTTTCACTACTTCATCTATTGATCTAGCAGTCTTACCCAAACTACACTACTTTTTGGATAATGTAAAGTAGAAATAATGTAATCGAAAAACAAACTAATAGATATATCTATATTCATGTAAAATATCGTATTAACACAGTAACAGTAAAGTGAAATCAAATAACAATTTCAAAAAAAAATCAAACAGCCTAATTAATCAATTCAGCGTAATTTGACCTAATCCATTGAACTGATTAACAATTAAGTGTGAAACACATTGAGCTAGCAACATTGTGAGTATTAATAGTGCTAATTAAAATTCAAATTGTAATTTATTCTAATATTCCAATGGGGATTAATAGTTTTAAAAAAAAATTATCATTAACATAAAGTATGATTTACGTACAATTTGACAATAAAATTACTAATCAAAAGTGTTTCAAAACCATTTACACCTAGTACGCACAAATACATCATCATCATCATACAAAGTGATACAAATATAATTGTTCACTGATTTGTGTTCATTAACTGTCAGTAGTAGAAGTAGTAGTAGTAGTAGCAGTAGTAATTCATACATTGTCATAGAATTGTGTTCTCAATTAATTTTCATTGTATTTCAGTGACAATTTGTCTGGGGCATTTTTATTATTCAACTAATGACTGTTCACATAGTTGGGTTTAATGTATACACAGTTTATATCATCATTGAATTGAATCAGTATAGAAAATTAAATCAATTCAAATACCATTTGAAATCATGAATCGATCAAGGTTAGACCAGCATTAGAAACCTGGAAGCACTGGACCGTCTAACATTGATCGATTCATGATTTCAAATGTGTAATTGAACAATCTTCACAACTCCGTAATCGAATACAATTAACTCTATGGGAAATTTTAACCAAAAATAAATCTTTTCCTCAATATTTGTGTAATGCGGAATTCAAGGGCTGTGTCATCCTCCACTCGTACAAACGATCATTAACTAAATGGCTATCACCGTAAGTCATAAGAATAAGAAAGATAAAACAATGAAAATTTAAAAAAATTGAGTAAATTAGATCTAAGTCAATCATCAATATTTCTTTTCTGACCATTTTTTCAGTCTACAGCATTATATTAGGTTGATGGTGAAACGTTCTGTTTGTCTCTTACATGAAAAATTATAATCTAAGCCCAAAAAAAAGTTCTTTTGGTATTGCATGATACTAGAACACTACATTAAATGTTACGTCATCGTACAGCTGATTTTTATGAGTGATGAGTTTGTATTTGAATAAAATATGAGAGTTTAGTTAACCAATGGAGTAATATTGTAATGATTATTATTTCATAGTAATCACAGTAAACAAGATGAATGTCATTTAGACAAAGAACAAAAGTTGTATTCACTATTTGTTTGAATAAATTCAAAATCATCACTGTTACCATCGTTATGGTATTTTGATAAAACAATACTACAAATTGAAACAATATATATTGAACAATTTTAGTTAACGAATACAACTAATCAGGCAGATATTCTCCTTCATACAAAAAAAATTATATTGAGAAACTAAAAAAAAAACACGATCAAATTAAAAATGATAAAGGCGAAATTTACCTTTAAAACATGTGCAAAGAAAACGCCTTTAATATAATTGTCAGTTTTCAAAAATACTTCACGCAATTGACTTTGACCAATAGGATTGTATTTGGCATTGAATTTATCAAATCGATGAAATGTATTACGATCCTGAAAATGTGGTGAAGCAAATAATAATAATAATTTGTCGAATAAAAGATTCATTGGAAAGTCACAGCGACAATCATGTGGATAATAATAAAAATTAATAATGATAGTCACATATGTTATAAAACAAGAATATCATTATTGTGATTATTATTATTATTATTATTATTATTATTATGCTGCTTAAATTATTCAATCAAGTTTCAGAAAGCAAACTAAAATGAGAATTACGAAGTTTTTCCTAATGAAAAAATCAACAATTCTATGTGATTGATTAGACTGGAGTGGAGCAGGAACAACTGAAGTTCAAAGATATATTTTATTCATGAAAAAGTACACCTCATTGTCTTTTCCATAAATTCAAGTTACTACTAGTCATATTCACATCATAATGCCTTCCATTTGAGTTATTCAGTAAATATATGTGCATCAGAAGAGTTGACCGGTAAACAAATGATATAACAGGAAAAATTGCTAAACTAATAAACAATAACATGTATTGCTTAAATACCAATAATACACTGAATTTTAAAATAATAAAATTTCCACAAACCCATTTTACTACTAAAAACCACATGCTGACTAGTGAACATTTTCAAGATATATTCCTAAAGTGAGAAGCTGTGACCAGTAGAGTTCAATCTATGTCCAGTGTCAGATTGTGAATCAACACCACACAGGTAATGCATGCTGTGTTCTTCGAAATTCGAAAAAATTATCTACAATTAACTGTTGACCAATAAAACATGATCTCACATAATAAAAATCGAATCTATCGTTATTTTTCAAAATTGAACCAAGAAGTAGGATATGGCACAAGAAAGAATAATAAGTTAGACATTCAACAACGAATTAAGGAAAAACACTTATTCACCAAATGTTATTCTACTATAGTGTATTTAGGTATATATAAACTATTCGGTCGAACATTACAAATAAAAGAGGAAGGGATCATCACTGTTTTATAAAGGTTCGATAGTCTTTAAAATGTTTTCATGATACTTGACACAAACTGTTATTCAACTTTTAAGAGTAAGAAGGATGAAACTGGGAATGGTTACTTTGTCTGCGAGAATTTTATCGAATAAGCTCAATTCGTTGTTCTTGCTCTACTCAACATGATAAAGAGAACTAAATGAATGCAATAGACATTTGTTTTACTAATATTTCAAATGCCTTTCCCTTTGATCAGAATAAAAATCCCGAATAAACATGATTTAATTGAGTAAAATCTACAGAACATTTTCAAAAACTATTCGAAAGACGAATCAACTTCTAATAATGTCTGCCATCTAAATAACAAAGAAAATCAACTTTATTTATTTGCATATGTTCATTTAACTAACAAAGAACAATGGTGTCTGGAAAGGTCAAACGTTCAGTCTGAGAAGATAAGTCAACTCAGCTTTCTAACTGAGTCTAGATGACTCAGCATTTAATCATTGTTTATGTTATAGATGTCAGAGTTCAGTTAGAACAAGTTTTGAAAACAAATATCTATCAACAAACTCAATTCAACGGGAAGCATCCAACAAAAATGGATATGTGATGGGATAATAAGTTTAATAGTTAGGTCTTTACTTCATAGGCTAGTCAAACTTCCAATTATATAAACTATCGAAGAAAAAAAAAAGTTTCTACTTAAGTTAATAGAATAAAATGTAACATTTGAAGAAATGAGCTAAAATATAACTAATGGTTGAGAGTTCAATCAACCGTCTCATTTTGTTTGGGAATTGATATTTGCAAGGTGAAAATAAGAAAGCTAAGTGATACATAATTCTCCTAACAAATACATTTTTTTAATATACATCCATCTCAGACCTAATCATTAGTTACAATGTGTTAGTAGTAGAGAGAATGTGTGAAGAATATGTTATTGTCAGTTGAAATCCCGAATGATCTTAATTAGACCACCAATGAAAACCTGGAAACACTGGACAACCGTTTCTTCCTAATATAGGACTTCTAAGTAGTGTGTGCCAAAGATGTCGATTGCAGGAAACGAACCCAGAACATTCTGTTTCTCGTACGAACGCTTAACTTCTTAATCTGTGAGCCAGCACCCGACAGTGTTAATGTTTAACTTCAATCAATAAATCATTTCGACCATGAAAAGGATACAATTTTCACGACCAAACAATTAAAATCTTTTTATCACACTTATTTTCAAAATCAAAAAACCTATGATTTAAATAAGTGTACCCAAATAGTTTGTAATAAAACAATAATTTTAAATTACTCATATATAACTAACAAATATACTGTTGTTTTAGTGTACAATATGCATAGCAGGTATTAACTATGCAATCTATGAATCATTTTTTTTATCATTATTTATCAGCATTTCAGTTTCATGAACCCTAAACAAAAAAGAACAACTTGAATCCAGAATAATAATTAACATGGTAATAATGTTTTTATTGTGTAATTATGCTAGTGTATAAGGTGAGCTAATTTAAAATTCACTTGAATTTGATTGTATGATAAATGGTACAACACTAGAATCAGGCCATCACAAAAGTTTATCATATAAAGAATAAAGTACGACTTATTAACGTACGATTTCTATACTACAGTTAAAATCATCAAAACTCTCTATCTTGGTGAAATGTGATCTATAAGAGTAGAAAACATACATGGAATGTAAATATTTAGACAGGTTTTTTTCCATGCCCGTAAATTTAGGCCATTGGAGTTAGAAGGAGAACCAAAGGTATAAACTTACATAAACTAAGATGATTAGAGTGTCTTGCATGCCCTTGAAAACTGTTTATTCTGGATGCACAATACTGCATAACATAGGAGCTAGTCAAAAAAAGTCAAAGGGAGAGGGTCTAAAAACATGGCATTGATTTGTTAACTCATCAACAGCTGATCTGAGCCATGGAGGTAGGTAATGACTTGCAGGTTCGATTCCACGTATTAATTGTCATTTGTAGTTAAATAGTTAAGATAACAATGAAGCAATAATATCTAACCTCTCTCTTTCCTATAATTTTGATTAGAATGGGTGCAGGAACGCAACACAGTTAATTATCTATTTCAATCTTAAGGTATTGTGCGTTACTGAGTCATTAATGACAAATCCTATTCAATTGAAGTCGTTCGAAATTAAATATTCATTGATGTAAATCAAATCCATTTGAAAAAATCAGTGTCTTGATACATTCACCTTTAATAAAAAATATTTCGTGCTTCACATCTTAGCAAACTACAAACTATTTATATCAATTGTTATGTTGATGATAGCTGACTGACTGACTGATTGATTAACTATATTCAAAAGTATTCTTTATACAGATAAAAGTTGATAAATCATCGTAAAGTAGAGATGTGATAGAGTTGGTTACTTTATGAATGTGTAGTAGTTAAAATGTTCACATCACTGAAACAGCTATCTGCACATTGAAAACCAAAAACCAAATATTCATACTGAAAATTGAAAATGAACGTAAAATAGATAGAACTTACTGCATGAACATCTAAATTGTCAATATTTAAATCGTAAAGTGTAATGCCAATTTTATCAACTAACTGTAAAATGAAAAAAAAACATGAGACAGAGAGAGGAAGAAGAAAAAAAGAGAGGGGCAATTAAATACAGAGAAAATTAAATGATTAATAATTTTATTGGTATATCATAATACTACAATGTCACATTTCTTGTCTACATTGCACAATGAATTATCACAAAAAGAAGACAGTAACAAATTCGTTACACCTAATCGTATATACAAACTCCGCCTGTAGATTCTTCGGGGTTACTGCCAGTCCCAAGCCCGGATAAAGTAGGAGGGGTTGGACATGGGGTTGGCGCCAAAACGCTAACCCTATATACAGCACTATAATGGTAGTGTGTTAGTTAACCAACTTGATTGTCGCAGTTAGCCCATAATTCAAATGAACTAGATCCATACAATGTGTTTTGAATTATTATCAGTTATATCAAACTGTCGTAGAAAAACACTAATAATAGTTAGCTACATTTGGATGATGAAATCGTTTACATAATGATTTGTACTAAGTTGATGTTATATTCAGTTGTAGCAACTCATTTCACAACCACAGATTCTTTTTGTAGAAATTTTTTTTGATTTTATTTATAAATAATAGTCGAAAATGAATGAAAAGCAAACAATGTCATCATCTAGGATGAATTTGTGAGAAAAAAAACACAGAAATTTTAACAAAAATCGATCGAATAAGTCAATGTTTACCAACGTTACCAATATAAATTGGTATGTATGTAAATTGACATAGTGTGGTGATAAGAGTATTCATAGATTACAACTTAAAAGCAATCTTTTAAAAACAAACCAATATCCTAATGTTAGTTAGTATGTATGTTTCTGTTGACGTACAGTCTGTATTGTGATGCAACCCTTGATTAAAAAAGTTTAGCGACCACTAAGTTAAAAGCTTATGTAGTCAGTCCACTTTGAACAGTAATTTGGTATGCATAGTTAACGATACTATTGAGCTATTATTAAATCACAATAATCGAATATGCCTAGAAATTTAAACGCAATTGTGCATGAATATCATTTGCCTTGATACTTTGATCTAAATTCCTTTTTTTTAAAAAAAAACAACACAACAATTGAAGTATTACATAATCAAGCAAAAAACTCTTAGTATTACCAACAACATAGTTGAACACACTAGATTTATGCTGACTAGAAATATTCTCTTACACTTACAATCTGAATTGGTTTCGTTTCATTAAAGTCTATTTTCTTCGAATAAATGACTTCATGGTAGACGTGTAAATATGACTATGAAACGAACAGTTTAATGTCTGTCGAAGAAAAGTATTCAATTATCGACAGTCTCCAGAAGAGAAATCACTATGAAATGTAGGCAACCTAGAAGGATAGTACATTTCTCGATCAAATAAAAATCTCCATAGCACTCATTTTTACTGAGTAGCTTACATTACATATTGCTATATGTTGACTAGTTATATATACGTAACGTGTTTGCATACTTTTTTTTATTTAAATAACTGATCTTTACAGTTACAAGTTAGGTGTGACAGAAAATATTATAAAGATGGTGGAGAGAGGACTAAGTACACACTATGTAGTACTTTCTATCTGTTAATATCCCACTAGGCTAGTAGATAATTTCGTGGTTATTGATCAAAGAGCATTGTACAAAGTATGGGCATTTTCGACACATGAGAATTCATTCAAATAAATTTCTAGTTGCATATATATATATTTTTTTTTTGGATTACAAGAAACGCCCAGTTTATATACTTTATAATTAATTATTTGAAAGTACACAATAAATATAACTGATTCGATTTTCGTCTTCTAAATGACGTTGAGGAGAAACACCCAATCGACTGAATGTTTAAAACAACAAGTTTGACCTCTTCAATTATAGAATATTTGATTAGTTTTTATTTCTTTTTTTCGAATTTCGAATTTTTATTCACACAAAAAATCAACAGCATAAAGTACATTTATTGTATTGCAAAAATAAAACTCTATGAGATAATAATTTATTCAAATGAATAAATAGAAATGCATACAAAAATTTCAACATTAC